TTGGCTTCCTCGCCTTCCACCCCATCAGTCCTGATGGGCAGCAGCTACCACTGGGGACAAATATCCAAAACCACACAGCAGTGGCTCACTTTTCGTATTTTTCTTTTTGTCGAAATTGGGACTGGCCAACTGGTGGTCCATTGGCCACACCTATAGCTTGATTTGACCTGCTTCTCTCTCCTGCCCCCAAAACCATCCCTGCAGAGAATGCTTGTGAGTACATATATGTCCTGCAACACATGAAATAGGTAGGAGGATTGCCTTAAAGTGGAAGGGGAAAGCTTCAGGGCTGGTGTGAACACCTCAGGGTCTGTTTAGACACCTTCCTGCTGTGACGCCTAGTGACTTATACATGCTCTGAGCCTGACAGTAATAGCATATTTGCTGTGGGACTATCTGCCCCACATCCAGTCAAGGAGATTGTAGTAGGCCTCCAAGCTCAGGAAGCAGGTCGGCAGGAGTTGACATTTCACTGCATTGTAGAAGACTCACTTGGAAGCACATTTCAAGTCTTTATTCTTGACATTAGTGGTACCATGCATTTGTTGTCCCTCCAGTGCAGACAAAGAGCTTGTATTGGTGCAAAGGCTTCCTCCATAGTCTTAATCTCTGCATAAACATCCCAACCAGACCATTAGGTTATACTTGGAATTGGCACAGATAGAGCATGACTGAAGCAGATCAGAGTCCATTTTTTATGATTTTTACTTATGGGATCCTGGCTGAAACCATAATTTACAGGGCAATCCTGCATGTCTACTCAAAAGTAAGCCCAACTGAAATAAAACAGGGCGTAAGCCCAGGAAAGGGAGTGTAGGATAGGACCTTAATTTCCTTTAAAATGCAGCATTTAATGACATGCATATTGCATTGGGTCAAACCATATTCTAAAATACAAATTGGCTTGTTTTGCAGGATGGCTGATGCAAAACTGCACTTCCCTAGCAATATTTCTTAGTGGTTTATTTCTCAGCATTAGAAATTTCTTTCCTATCTATTTTGAATTAATTTGAACTTTGCACATTTCTTAATATTTTATCTCCCTCCTCTAGGTTAGAGAGCATTTTATTATGAAATACTTTCTCCTCGTTAAAGTATTTATACCCTGTGGACAACTCACCTCCTCAACTTCTTTTTGATATGATAAATAGCTTGATCATGTTAAGTTGCTAGCTGCTAGGCTTGTTTTCCAATCCTTAAAAATTCTCATAACTCTTCTCTTGAACGCTTTCCAATTATTCTTAATGTCTTTTTGTCAAAGTGGACATAATTCTAAACACAATGTTTCAGCAGTGCTATTAACATCACCTCTGCCCTCCCGCACTCAGTATATTTGCCTTCACATTTATTTCACAGTTATAAGTAGTAGTGTTTAATTAACTCGTGGTCTAAAGCTGCAATTCTGTGCCCACTTACCAGGGGGCAAGTCCCTTTGAGCACTGCATTAATTACTTCTGAGAAAGATATGCATAGGTTTGGGCTGCATATTATTTGCACTTCTGCATCGCATGCGCAAATGGCATGTGTGATGGTTGCGCATGCATTCATTTTGCTGTGGTCCCATGTGAGATACATAGACTCTGGGCCATTGTGGCTTCCTACATAGATCACTATTCCAAATGATTTCACTAGAAATCAAAGAGCAGTATATAACTCCAGATTTGTGTCAATTTAAGCAAGGTCAAACTTTGGCACAGGGAATGTTGTTTGAAGCCAGGAAAGCTGCTGCCAGGGGCAATTTATTTCCTTTGCTTAGGTTTTTTTCCTTTCTTGCCTGTGTATTCAAGAATGAAAAAAAAAGATGTCTTGGGGGAATAATTACAAACATTAACATTTAATAATTATTTTCTCCTTGGTGGCTTTCTTAAATGAAATATTTCAGAATTCCTCAGCCAAGGAAGATTAAATTAAATACTTCTGATCTGAGTCATTTAGCTGACTTCCTTTTGCCCACCTGAGCCAATTGCTACTTTTCTTTTTCATTATCTTGCATTCATTTGGCTCTTGTACAGTTTCACTGACTCTGCAGCAGCTTCATATTCAGAATCATGGCCATGCTCAGTTCTGCCCCTGTCAGCAGGAAACACCCCATGGGGCTCCTGTGGCCCTCGCTCAATAAATTTTCAGCAGTGAGCCTCATAACATATTGCCCGGAGCAGATCCCAGAATCAAACCATCAGAAACTCAGAAGTACCGTACATTTCCTTGTATAAAACTATGTTTTTTTTACTCTAAAATAGTGTTCATAATCGGGGCTCGTCTTATACACAGATACATCTCCCCCCATTTTCTTAAATCGGGGGCGTCTTGTACATGGGGTCATCTTATACACTGAAAAATACGGTACATAATGCCCCTGTATAAATTAGCACTACACAATTTATAGAATCCAAGTCTTTACTTCCACGTGTTCATTGGCACAGTACAATAGCTAATAATAACTAGAGTGGCACACACTGAGGCATAGGTGCCGAGCCAACTTTTTTTGGGGGGGAGGGGGGACTGACATAACGCGTGCGATGCACATCTCGTGCATATGATGTCACGCATGTCACATGCATGACGTCTTGCATCAGGAGAGTGCCAACCAGGCATCTTCCCGATGTAACATTAGTGTGCCAGGCCGCACTGCTCTGCGCATCTCTCCTGACACTGTGCAACCCAGGGCAACATCCCGCCAGGCCTTCTCTGCCCCCTCAAGATAGGAGGGGGCTGAGCCCCATCCAAACAGACATGGGCGGGGGGCTGTAGACACCTCAGCCCCATAGAATTGGCACGCCTGCACTGAGAGACTAGAAAGTTAGACTCCTCCAGCTTATGAAAGTAAGGAGGGAAGAAAAAATTGCATAGATGTTGACAGAGATACATATATTGTTTTATTGCCATGCATAATAGCAGCAATAAAACATAGCATGGTAATAAAATATTGGGATAGTTTTAGCAGCAGCAGCAACAGTGGGTTCACACAGCATCCAATGGTTGAGAAGGGAATTTAAGGGCATATATAATTCATATTTTAGTCCCTGCAATATGTATCATATACTGCAGGAACTGAAATATCAAAGTATTAGCACGGGAGAACACAGAAGAAAAAATCTAGCCCATAAAATTTAGAAAGGGCTCCTTCCCCACATGTGAAATTGTTGCTCCCCATCACCCTTGGGAGTATGTAAGATACTGTCACACCAACAAATTTGATGTTAATTTGTAAATATATATATATTGAGAAGTAAGAAAAATTAATTGGCCCAAAGGCAAGTTTTTGACTGGATGACTTAGTAAGGACGAGAGGGTTTTCTCAATGGTCGGGGTCTAACCTCACTGGGATGGGGAAGGAACTGCCTGCTGTATTAGACTGGTTAGTGACCAGAGGGATTAGTGAATGAGTAGGCAAACTAAGGCCCAGGGGCCAGATCTGGCCCAATGGCCTTCTAAATCCGGCCCATGAATGGTCCTAGAATCAGCATGTTTTTACATGAGTAGAATGTGTCCTTTTATTTAAAATGCATCTTTGGGTTATTTGTGGGGCATAGGAATTCATTCATTTCCCCCCAAAAAATACAGTCCGGCCCCATGCTGAAAAAGTTTGCTGACCCCTGGATTAGTGCATTCAGGGCATGGCTGGCTAGCTTGCATCAGCAGCTATTCACTTGACCTGACTCTTCATGTGGTGTGTTCTTCTCTCTGCATAGATTGATGGGGGCAGCAGGTTGGAGCAGAGGCAGGGACCACCCTGCTTTTTAGCAGGAAATCACATTAGTTGATGCCTTTGAGAAGGGAGTTTAAAGAGTTGATCCTTGCGGAATCACACTGCCACGAAAAACAAGGAAAGCTAATTTTATATAGCTGAGCAGGAGTGAAACACAGGAATATCAGTAACTGACAAAGCTCTCAGGGCATGCTTACAAAACTTAGGTGAGCAAAGACTGTGTTCCACCCAATGGAGGGAGGTATGTCCTGTGCCTTCAGGCCTTGGTCCTCATGTTAAAGATGCCCCTATGCCATATAGCAAACGATGGAAATGGAGAGCAAACAGCTGTCTATTCTTGTCCTATCCATTTGCAGGAATGTAGTGACCACTGCTGGCCAAAGGATGATTAGATGGGCTGTTGGTCTGCAGATCTCTTACGTTCTTGCACAGTGCAAATCAGCTTTGGTCTCAAGAGATTATTGCAGATTTTTAGACAGCTGAGGAGCAGATCCAGTATAGTTATGCAAGGAACAGATCCACTAAATGTTTCAGTCTGTATGGCTGTAAAAACAGCATTCCCTGGAACTCACGGATGTCTCCGTGTACCTTTCCACTGCTGGTCAGAAATGCTAAACAACATGCTTAAAGATCTAGCAGAATGCAATCATTTTCTTTATAGCGCTTGGGTTCCCTGTTGCTCTACAATATTGAGAAAACTTTCTCCTGGAAACAAAACCGTACATGCTCCTAAACTTGTATTTACAGGTATGTAATTCCCCACATTCAATCAACCTCATCCCAGCGGGTGCTGAGGTGCCTTGCAATAATATTCTTTGTTCCCGTCAGCGTATAAGTTATAAACATATTGCTGGTATTCTGTACAACTCAAATACCGAAGCTGCAACAATCTCCAAGCACAAACTCTAAAATGCCAAAAAAACCAACCACCTATCAAAGCTTATTGCTGCCCATTGTTACAAATAGCCATATAGCAAAAACCCAACTTCTTGGATATATGCTCCATGCTGTATTACATGGGCACTACAAAGAAACACAAGGAAACATCACACTTTGATTGAATCCTCAATGGAGAATGTGCCCACAGTTGTTTGGAAGACATATGGGGGTGGAGGATAAAAATGTGGAATCCAGGGCTTTCAGCACATCCCATGAGCGGAGGCGTTTCTCACGAAATATTAAAAATGACAAGTATTTTGAAAACAGTATTTTGACTGCTGCATCCCGATCGCCGCCACAAAGAGTATCTAGCTTCCCCGAACATAAATTTCTTATGGAAAAGAAATCTTACCTTGCGCAGAATTAAAGAACAAAGCCGAAATCCAGCCAAGCAAGCAGTCTGTCACTAAAACGCTGACAATATCCAGTTTCAAGCTACTGCAGCGCTTTTTGCAGTTGCCTATGGGCATCACACCATCAGATGCTGCAAGGCAGGTAGGTGGGCCATATCTCATCGGTGTTCCAAGACCTACTGCTGTCCATAAAGGGCCACCATGTACCCTGTGCTTCGCTTGTCCTACACTTACTTTGCAGTCTCAGAGGACTTCCCCGCAACTTTCCCCTGAGTGGCTTTCCTTGGAGTTTGATAGATCTGAAAACTGCGAAAATAATGGGTTTCCCTTCTGTGGAAACTCACCTGCACCACCTAGGGGTCTAACACAGGATAGGAAAAGCTACTGGAATAGGACATAGGCTCCCTCCCTCGCAGAATTCTTTTGCCTGGGTTCACACTACAGTTTAATGCCAGATCTGATACAGCCTTGCTTTATTTAACATTATTTATTATGATTATTTGTACCTTGTATTTGAGGATACAGATCATTCCAAAGCAGCTTAGTTACAGATGACGGTGCATTTAATCTTTGCACATCGAGAAGCTGTGGTTGGGATAAATCTAAAAACCATTGTTTAAAAATTCTTGAAGATGGGCTAAACGTTGGCCTCCTCTTCCCTCCCCATTTTTTTGTTTGACATATTTTCGCCAAAATCCACATGGTGCATTTTTACTTTTGTGAATGCAAATGGGAGAGATTTAATTTTTCAAAGAAGACCCTCCCAAAGCTTGGGGCAATTGTTTGTTAGTTTAATTCATTTTAAAAACTGTATGCTGCTCAACGTAAATAAAAGCTCCTAGTGGCTTATAAAGAAGTATACATCGAAATAGTAAACAAAAATCAATGTTTAAAAAAAGGAAGACTATTCATCTCTATTCAGCACCTAGGAAAACTAATAATAATAATAATAATAATAATAATAATAATAATAATAATAATAGCACCTAGGAGGGAAAGTATAATGTCTGAGTCTTTATACAGCAGCAATATTTGTTCAACTAATAGCCAGATCCAAAAGATTGCAGGACTCTGGCACCTTTAAGAGTTGTGTATAACGGGGAAGTTAGCAGGAAGAGGCTACCAAAATCTCCCCTTCCATACAACTATTGAAGGTGCCAGAGCCCAATACAATTTTGCATGAATAGGCCTCTGCTCATTAAACAATAATGGATTGGCCCTTGCACAGCCTGGAATTGTCCAATGCCTATTTACTCAGAAATAAGTTCCTCTGTGTATGGAACTGCAGCATGTCCATGCCTCCTCCAAAGTAAGCCCTAGTATGAGACTTACTTCCAAGGTACTGCGTAGGATTGCGGTGTTAATCTCTGTGATTTTATAAACCCACTCAGGACCAGGTCCCACCGACCGCAACTGAGTTTATTTCTGAGTAGACGTGTACAGAATTGCACTCATCAGGCTGTTAAGCTGAGATAGCTCAGTCAGTAGAGCATGAAACTCTTAATGTCAGGGCCATGTTGGGCAAACAAATCCTGCATTGCAGAGGATTGGACTAGATGATCCTTCCAGCTCTACAATTCTATGAACTACTATGCTGCTGTTGTTGTTGTTTAGTCGTTTATTCGTGTCCTACTCTTCGTGACCCCATGGACCAGAGCACGCCAGGCACTCCTGTCTTCCACTGTCTGCCACAGTTTGGTCAAACTCATGCTTGTAGCTTCGAGAACACTGTCCAACCATCTCGTCCTCCGTCATCCCCTTCTCCTTGTGCCCTCCATCTTTCCCAACATCAGGGTCTTTTCCAGGGAGTCTTCTCTTCTCATGAGGTGGCCAAAGTATTGGAGCCTCAGCTTCAGGATCTGTCCTTCCAGTGAGTACTCAGGGCTGATTTCCTTAAGAATGGATACGTTTAATCTTCTTGCAGTCCATGGGACTCTCAAGTCTCCTCCAGCATCATAATTCAAAAGCATCAATTCTTCGGTGATCAGCCTTCTTTATGGTCCAGCTCTCACTTCCATACATCACTACTGGGAAAACCATAGCTTTTACTATACGGACCTTTGTTGGCAAGGTGATGTCTCTACTTTTTAAGATGCTGTCTAGGTTTGTCATTGCTTTTCTCCCAAGAAGCAGGCGTCTTTTAATTTCGTGACTGCTGTCACCATCTGCAGTGATCATGGAGCCCAAGAAAGTAACTACTATGCTACACCAGGTCTATAGAATCATTGCGTTTAGGGAAGTTTTAAATGTTTGATGTTTGATCGTGTTTTTAATACTCTGTTGGGAGTCGCCCAGAGTGGCTGGGGAAACCCAGCCAGACGGGTAGGGTATAAATAAGTTGTTGTTGTTGTTGTTGTTGTTGTTGTTGTTGTTGTTGTTGTTGTTGTTGTTGTTGTTATACATTCCCGTATTTGTTCATGCCATCAATACATGCACATGTTATCTGCCTGTGCCTTGTCAGCGTGACAGTTCTGAACGAATACAAGATGACTCTGTGAAGTTAATTTCACAAGGGGCTTTTAGGAGTAGGGAAGGATCAGGTGGTCTCATCACCTTCCAAGACGCAGACGTAGCTGAGATAGGAACCAACATTTTTATCCTGGGTGGCACCGGTGCTGGGAACGTCTGCAGAGTGTTGGCAACGCAACCTGACCTTCCACCTGCTCAGCTCCAGGCAGTTGGCTTGTGGTACCTTTAAGCTGCCAAGGAGAGTTTCAGCTGAAGGCAACTCCACGAGGAGGCAGCTAGGCGCCACCACTGGGGAAAGGGAGCCAGCGGAGAAGCACGGAGGGGCAACCAGGAAATTACATTTCTGCAGGCCAGAAAAAGGGCCAAACTGCATGTGTCATTTAATGTGTTTTTTGCACACTCACACAAATTGCATCCCCTGGGGGTGGGGTGTGAATCAGGACAGGCATGGGGAAGGAATCTAACTCTTTCCTCTCCTGCTAAGCCCTGAAGAAAATTCTGATTCTGAATAAGCTGTTTTGTATTGGGAAGAAATAGAGGGTGGCCGGATTGCAGAAGAAATTGGGGCTCCTGCCTCTTTAATAGTCTTCATGCAATCTATGCAGGAAGTCCTGCTTCTATTCAACTATTAAACATTGCAAGAGCCCTGTCCCTTTTTGTGTGTCTGACTATCTTAGAAAACAGTACAGTGGTACCTCAGGTTAAGTACTTAATTCGTTCCAGAGGTCTGTCCTTAACCTGAAACTGTTCTTAACCTGAAGCACCACTTTAGCTAATGGGGCCTCCCACTGCCACCGCACCGCCAGAGCACGATTTCTGTTCTCATCCTGAAGCAAAGTTCTTAACCTGAAGCACTATTTCTGGGTTAGCGGAGTCTGTAACCTGAAGCGTATGTAACCTGAAGCGTATGTAACCTGAAGCGTATGTAACCCGAGGTACCACTGTAATGCAACAGGGCAGGGGGAATCAGAGCAATTATTCTTTGCATTGTGGATATAATGAAATAAATTATAGGCGAGGAACCAAGAGTATTTCTTTATGCCCTCCCCACTATCAGTAGCTTATTTGGGATTTCAAAAAGTATAATTCCTGACAGCCACAAAGCTGTTGGGCTTTATTTAGGAAGACCTCAAAAGTTTATTCTTGGTATGAGCTTTCGTGTACATGCACACTTCTTCAGATAGGCTACCTACCTGAATCTAGAACCATGGAAGGCACCACGCTGAGCCGCATGAAAGGGAAGTCCATCAACCTCACAGGTATCTGAAGAAGTGTGCGTGCACACGAAAGCTCACACCAAGAACAAACATAGTTGGTCTCTAATTAAGTACCTCGGGTTAAGAACTTAATTTGTCCCGGAGGTCTGTTCTTAACCTGAAACTGTTCTTAACCTGAAGCACCACTTTAGCTAATGGGGCCTCCCGCTGCCGCCGCGCTGCCAGAGTCCGATTTCTGTTCTTATCCTGAAGCAAAGTTCTTAACCTGAGGTACTATTTCTGGCTTAGTGGAGTGTGTAACCTGAAGCGTATGTAACCTGAGGTACCACTGTATAAGCCTATTTAATGTTCAATATGTGGATAGGCCACTGGCAAAAAGGAAAGGGAAACGTAGGTACTTGATTCTGCTTATAGTTAAATACATTTAATTATACCTCATTCATTTTTATCAGATTTAATGTGCATGACTGTTCATGAGACTAAAGCCTCGGTATAAAAGTTATCGTAGGCATGTATGACTTTTGATGGAGTAGGGAGTCACTGTTTTTGCATTTCCATACCAAAGAGGATCATTGAATTATTAGTCGGTCGTCATAATGGCTGGTAGTCTACATTTGGCTTGGAAGTCATGCAGGCCTGATGTATTTACTCATATGGGGAAACAATGTTGTAAGCTATCCTTGCCATGAAAAAATATATACAGTCCTATTAATCAGGATATTTTAACAAGCCAGATGATGAAATGCTTTTGGGCTTTCTTTTATTCTAGTGGGGTTGTTATGGAAGAGGTACTTAGTGAATTTCCTCCAATAGACAGAAAAGAGATGATTTTATGGGGTCTTGACACAACGGAAGAGCTTTCTACATCAGAAACAAACAAACAAAATAGGTGCTTGACTATGCCGTGATGGTGGCATGCGCAAGATTTAATTATATGCATGCTTATAGGCGAGGCCACCTCCAGAGATTTTTCACTGCCCTGGGTGGGTGGGTAGTTGACTGACAGGCCAAGTCTGGAGCTTCCCTCTGCTTCTAGCAAGACCTGCTTCTCACATAAACTAAGCATGTGGCCAGTAATTATTTGCAATGTCTCAAAGTATGCTGGGCCGCATGGTTGATTTGCATAGTGAGATGGCTGACCAAACTGGAAAGAGCTCGTTAGCTGACCTTATATGCTACTTTTGGCATGACGGGCACCTCTTGAATTGTACTGCCCATGGGAACTGGCTAGTATCCCTTTATAGTTGATGTAGCTTACGTAAACGAAACTTCCTAATGTAGAAGGGGGAAGAAGGTTCTCATAACTTCCTATTGCTGTTTGAGCTCATTTAACTCCCGACTTAAGAGAATCCTATACTAATTTGCACAGACACATCAGCCTTCTATGCCTGTATTGCTGTCAGACCTTAGCTAGGGCTTGATCCTAGGAATGGAGTTGAGAGATGACCTAACCTGGGGAGAAAACAGTAAAGACCTGATGAAGAGAGTACAGAAGAGGTTATATTTTCTGAGAATAAAGATTATCGTATCGTATCGTATCGTATCCTGATCATTGGATACCAAGAGAAGGGATATAGTCAAGGTCGAGA